CTTTTTTCACGAGAAATTCGGGTGATTAGAGTAAAATTATATTGGGTGCACCGTTTGACATGTATGGTTAAAAAAAATATATAATTATGTAAAGAAAAGGATCAATATATTTTTGTGTTCAATGCTTTATTCCAAGATACGAAGATTGCAATAATTGTGTTTGCATGTATTTTTCAGGAAAAGGGTAACCAAATGATGGATAAGGCTGGAAATGCTGCTCAATCGGCCAAGGAATCAATTCAGGAGGTTATCAGATTGATTCGTGTTTTCTCTTTTGACATGTGTGATAAGTTCGATTACACATGAACGAAGTGATTAAGATATAACTTTTTTTTTTTATGGGTTTAGGCTGGAGAGCAAGTGAAGGCCAAGGCACAAGGTGCAGCTGATGCAGTTAAAGATGCAACTGGAATGAACAAATGAAGTTTGATGGGATCCTTCTGATGTCTGTTTTTTTGAAGTTTAGTTGAAGATTTGTTTTGGCAATTTTCTTTTCTGCATTTGATTCCTTGAAAAAGAAGTTTATGTCATAAAGTTCTCTCTTTGATCAAATAAAACACTTCGTTTTTTGCTTTAAGAGTTAGTTAAATTTTTGTCAACCTTTTGCTAATTTGCTGCTTGAGAATTTTGTGCTCTTTTTCTTGGCACTAATAATCATTTGAAATGAATTGAATTTGGTAATCAGTGACTTAATGCAAATCTGCCCATGTCTCAATTACAAGATGATTTACACAAAGGTGTAGTTCTAAAATTGTCGAGGTGTAACTCTCCAATTTAAGAAGGTGTAATTTAAAATGGTGGATCGGTAATTTCTAAGAGACGTGACTATCCTATCTATAATGACCAAATTTGTATCCTAAATACTTGTGTGTTTTGTGAGTTGAATTGTATTGAACTTACTTACATTTAAAAGAAAACAAGTCAAAATTTTATTACTGTTTATCGCCACTTCAATCTCGTAGTAATAAGAAATTTTTTTGTTAACAAATTAAGAATTTATCCCAACTCTTCTTAATTTATAAATATTTTTAACAAAATATAAATCTTATCGATAATGTGAAGTTATGAATATGATATGTATAAACTTTAATTGTGAGAATGTTTGGCTAAATAAAAAAACAAAGGGAATTGGGCATTTCCTTTCTTAGTTGACGCGTTACGGATTCTAGGCAATCAGTTCTCAGACATCACGAAAATTTTCATTTTCGATCCCGTCCAATCGATCATCTTTCTCCCTATTTGGTAATGCAAATTCCGTTGAAGAAGGACCAGATCTCCTACATCTGATGATGATTCCGCGTTTTTCATAGTCGTCAACCATGGACCATATCAGAACTTCTCTTTCTCACCTCGTAGTACATATTGAACACGCTCTAAATTTACTGCATTATAAAAGACACTAACAGGGAATTTTTTTCATCAACAAATTAAAAATTTATCACATCTCTTCCTAATTTATAAATATATTTAACAAAATATAAATCTATCGATATTGCATATTATAATGTGAAGTTATTAATATGATATGTATGAACTTTAACTGTGAGAATGTTTGGCTCAATAAAAAACTTAGTTCATCTTAATTTTACGTAAATATTTATATCTATACACAATTGGACACGTTACTATTTTCTTAATTATTCGTAAAATATTAGTTGTTTTTATTAAATGAGTTTCTTCTAAAATTTATTTGTAATTTTGAATAACAAAATAATTACTTATTCTGGATATGACTTGAGTAAATCTTTTAAGCTTGAGTATACATTTATCGAGGATTAACTGCTACCTAAATGGTTGATAATCATCATTAATGACGAATAGCACTGTTCCGACTCCATTGAACGATGAAGTGGAGATTCATTGTCACCTAAATCGATGATGAACCCCGCTAATAATGAAAAAAATTGATTTTGGAGAATATTTTTCTTATTTTATCTAGTTTTTAAATAAGTATTCACATAATAAGAAAATTCCCGTAAAGAGGCTTTTTCTTTATTAAGAAAGTGAACAAACATTCTAATAATTTTAATTATTTATCTTCTTTAAAATTTATCTATTGTTCATTTTCAGCTCTCTGTAGTGCAAATTTAATATTTACATAACAGTAATTGACGTGATTTTGAAATGGAGCGGAAAGAAATTGATCAATGGTTGAAGAAGAGCACACCAAAATAGTATAATCAAGATTAATTATATTCACGTTACATTTTTTATTTAAACTTTTTATTAATTAACATATCTTTTCAGTATTCTTGATGATGAATTTTATCAAAAATAATCTACTTAAGGCCTGTTTGATAGGCCTTTTTTTTCCATGGAACCATTTTCCACTTTTGCCATATTTGATAACACTTTTTCTTTTTCAAGAATTGGCTTTCTACATTTGCCATAACGTGACCAATTTTCTTGGTTTTAGTTGAATTTCAATTCCCACCTTTTAGGTGATTTTTGATTTTCCGTTTCTTTTTTCTGGCAATAGAAACAAATTTTATCCCTAATTGTAAAAAAAAAAAAATTATCTATTTAATTGACAATTTTCATATAAAATAAAATCAAACGAACACAAACAAATTTTCATTTTTTTTGGCAATCCAAACAAATTATATCCCTTTAATTGACAATTTTCATGAAAAACAAAGTCAAACGAATACTAAAAAATAGAAAATCTCAACATTTTTCAGGTGAAAAATTATACTAATCAAACATAATTAATTGACAATTCTCAATAAAACAAGTTCTAGACAATTCAATTTCCCGCAATTCATTTTCTTTCCACCCAAATTCCATCTTTGAATCAAATGGACCCTAAGTGTTTTGAAATTAGGAAAGAAAATATTTTTTTTTTGAACTTTTGTATTTATTTTTTGTAAAATTATAATGGGTAAATAAGTTGTTTTATGCTCTCTCTGTGTACCTTTTTTTTTTTTTTTTAAAGGAA